TACCATATATAATTTAGTTGGTCAAAAAATATCAATCCTAAAAGAAACTATGACAGGGCCCGCCACGGCCCGCTTTGGGCCCGTCCGCAAGTATGATTGATCCAGCCCCTTCCGCTTTAAGAAAAATTTTATCAAAAATTTTGACAAAAAAGGAAGAAACTTTCTTATCAACCTAATACCTGAAAAACTAGTAATATTCAGCAAATTCTTTAAATGCAAAGTTTTCAATCTAGGTCTGTTTTACACCCTCCAAAATTTTCAAAATGATCGGAATCTTGACAGCCTAGATCCAGACACCTGAAATTGGTCAATATGGCCGAAAAATCAACTGGAAGATACGTTTTTGTATATCTTATTGACCGGTACTGTACTTACCCTGAAAAATTGATATTTTTCTATAATTTCGCTCAAAACTTTCACCGAAATCTGGAAGATTACTATAAAAATGTATCGTAAAATCGTATGTGTATCTATTGCTTAACAAAAACAATAAATTAAAATTACTATTTTGTTTCCAGTGAAACAGAAATTTTATAATGAAATTTTTTCACATGTTGATGAGAAGTTCATGTGCAAATATCCCTCAAAAACACGGTAACTTATCATCTGAAATTTAAAAAAAATTTACTGTTCCAACAATTCGTGAATTCAGAAATTCATATTTTCAGGTTTCAGAAAATTCGGGAGTTGAAAAATTGAAAAAGTGCAAACTCGAAAATTTTGATCCAAATTCTCAGCAATTCGAAGACTCTGATATTCTCAAAGTTAAATGTAGATAATGAAAATTTTGAAATTCCCAATATTAATTTGAATAACCTCCGAATCTAGATTTTCTGAATTTCCGATATTTTATCATATTTTGAGGTCTTTGGACATTTTTGTTGTGGTTTCAGAGCTTCCAGCTTTGTATCCAGCTAACTTGGCTCTTCAATTTTAAAAAACCACTAAAAAGCTTCAAAATAGAACTAAATTTTCCTTCCAACTTGATATCAAATTGGGAAATTTTGAAAACTCCTTCCCGCAATACCACTCGAACCGATGAGAGAAAATATTACACATATTCGCTTTCACTTCTGAACTTTAAAAAAATATATAAAAAAAAGAAGTTGCCGCCTGCCGGACTCGAACCCGCGTAGCTGGGACAAAAGCGTAGTGCCTTAGCCACTACACCACGGGTCAACACAGAAAAAGTGAAAAACATGGGTCAGGCAATAACTAATAAAAATTCCTGATTCGCCTGTCCAGGTTTCAGCTCAATCGGTTAACTTTGAATGGGTGAACCGTCACGCGACATACATCCTTACATACGGAATTCGGTGAATGTTATTAGTAATGATTCAGTAATGGTCTTTTGATAGGCATTTTATCAGTTGGAAACTTTCTGGTATCTCTTGCAGAAACTGAGGTAATTGATCTCAAAGTGAAAGTATTGGGGTACCGTACTTCCGCTGTCTTTTTACTTCAATTTTTTTGGATTTTTAAATCATAAAAATGATCCTGGCTGTTTCAAAGTTTCCAAATTTGGCTGTAAAGAAACCTATCAATTTTTCCACTCGAAACAAAACACTTTCTTACTGTAGGCTCACCTTGTTTAATTCCAAAAACTTGCTCCGAAGACTGTAGAAGGGGATTAGCAATGATAAGGACTGAGAAGAACACATGAATCGCAATCAGAATGGAAATTCCACGTCGCAGAGTCTCATTCTGAATGGAACTGATGATTGAGTCGGATACACTATCTCCATAAATCCAGAATCCAAGAAGAGAAACCGGAGTGTAAAGGAGAAAGAGTCCTGGAAGAGTTATATGCTAACAATTACTGTTTCAAGTTCTGCCGAAAATTTTTTTTCACAAAATCCATTTTACTAACGGTGTTCTAATTCTAAGATACTGTTATAAGATACTAATTGTAAGATACTGTAAGATAATTGTAAGATACTGATAAAACTACTGTTTCAAATGTTGTATTTTTTAATTTTTGAATAGAACTTGTATTGCCATTACTATTAGTAGTTTTGAAGTCCTACAAAAGTAGTCTAGAAGGGTTCAATTTATCTGAAAATTTCAGATTATACTAAATGAAAACAAAGCTTCATTTTTGTAGTTGCCGACATTTTTGCCGAATTTCATTCTGATGAGATATGCTGTTTTTAATTAAACAGTGCCCAAGTAGACACTATCACTGATTTTCTAACTGTGAATGCTATAAAATTACTGTTTCAAAATGTGTCTAACAAATTTTTAAAGAGCCATTTTTTAATAATGTTATTTCATGGTAGAAATTACTGTTTCAAAATTTTTGTGTTCAAAACCTCGAATGCGTTTTGTATTGACGTTCGTTTAAACTTGTCCGATTTTTTAGAAAACTAACTTTCTAATGAAAAAAAAGTTAACTTTGAAGTCCTACAAAAGTAGCCTAGAATTTTCAGATTAGTCTGAAAAATTCAGAGTATACTAAACAGACTTCAAAGTTCATTAATTGATACCCTGAACGAATCGACAAAAAATTTCAATGGCTCAATTTAGAAGTTTCTATAAAACATTAAAAAACAACGATAACTTTTTCAAATAATTTTCCCCAAAACGCTCAACTTTTTCCCCTATAAATTTGTCCAACTCACCAATGTAGCTCAACAAAAAAGTTCTGAAAAAGTGTTGTGGAGTTTTCATGTCATGTACAATTGTCGGAATACATGGATGTCCTCCATAAGCAAAGATTATGGTAGCCAGACTGTTGGAAGCGGCTGCCGGGGAGAATTCCGGGTACGTTGAGTGCTGGAAATTATATTTTTCCCATATAAAACTATTGGCGATTTTTTCGAACTGATAAGTGCAAATTTTGAAACACGGAATGTTTTCAATGTTCCCTCAGGAAGTTGATCTAGCGAGCAATACATTGAAAAAATCACTGTTTCAAAAATTGGAAAACTTTTGAGAATCTTTAAATTCAGTAATTTCGCATCCGAAAAAACAATTTTTTACTGTAAAAAAGCTAATTTTCCCGAGTTTCTAAAAAGGCTTCTTTAAAAAATTACTGTTCCACTATTAATATATTTATAGGGTTCAAATTCTGACTACAGTAATGTTGCGAAATAAATATTTTTCTGTTTGAAATTTTAGTAGGATACAAGCATTAATGAAAATATTAACAACATTCATTTATTTATTTGAAACTTGAAACGGTATCCTATTTTTAGAAAAATTGAGCTCTGAAAACCTTTGAACAGTTGGAGGTGTCTCGGCAACGCAGTCTGGACCTACATATCATACAGTAAGCATTTTGAAAAGCTTAAACTCGTTAATTTATACAAGATAGTTACAAATTTCTATTTGAGACAAAAAATCTGCGATTCGAAAAATATTGGATTTTGAAATAGCAAATTTAACATAAGAAAACTTTGAGACAGTAAAATAATAAGAATTTTTGAAACAGTTTTTATTGTATTTTTTTTCTTTACTGTTTCAAATTTTGATAACCAAGTTCACTAGTCATACTACGGTAACTTGTATAATTCTATAGCATAAATGGTAGAATTCTGAGCAACGCGGTTGCAAACTCTCAACCTTCATACCGTACATCAAGTTGTGCCCAATTATCTCGATTACTGTAACAGCTATCAAAAATATGTCAATTGATAAGTTGTTTGTCATAATATCACCAACATTTTATCAGTTGAAAATTTATTAATATCTCTTACAGTAACCGAGATAATCGAGCTCAAAGTGCAAGTATAGGGTGTGGTACTTTTTTAATACGGTACTACGGCTACTGCAGATTTTTGGGAGCATTTAAAAAACAAAAGGCTAGTCAATTGTGTAAAACGAAAAATTTCAAAAATTATTGTTTTTATGAAACAGTAAAACTTTGAGAATTTTTTCAGAATTTTCAATATTATTGTTTCAGGTTTTCTCTTTGCAATTATATTTTTAACAGCTCTATTTTTATACACTTACACTCTTTAAGAAATATCCGCTTAAAAATTTCGAAAAGTATAGTTTTTCATGTCATCCTTGCTTCAGGTTCCTTGAAAGTTTATATCAGAAAATTTTGGACCGATTTATATTCATTTCTGGATGAAAAGCTTTTACTTATTTTGAAAGCGGGGCACAATTTTTTTCTTAAGATAACTTCAACACAATATTATATGTCAAATTTATATTTAACAAAACTGTGAAACAGTAATAAAATTAGCATTTTCGAAAATATTTTCATCGAATGTTTCATATTTCACTGTTTCAAAAATTTACGATAACCAAGCTCACTAATCATACTATACTACGGTAATTTGTATAATTTGTATGTACTACTGAAATGCTCGAATTCTGAGCAACGCTGTAGCAAACTCTCAACCTTCATGCCATACATCTCGATTACTGTAAAAGATATCAAAAAGTGGTCAACTGATGAAATGCTGATGATATTCTGATAAATATTTTATCAGTCAACAATATTCTGGTATCTCTTACAAAAGCCGAGATAATTCAGCTCAAAGTTTAAGCGTAGGGTGGTGTACCTTTTACTACGGTACTACGGTTACTACGGATTATTGGGCGCATTTAAATAATGTACCAAAACTAGGGAAACGAACCAAAAAAAATAAAATGTTCAAAACTTATCTTTTGTATGAAACAGTAAAATTTCCGGAAAATTTTCTCCGAATTTCGTAAGAGGAAAAAATTACTGTTTCAGTTTATCTCTTTGCAGTTCTATCGTCTAACAACTCTATTGCAAGGTACGTCTTTAAAGCAAGCTCTTAATCACCTGCTGACATCCCTTAACATCCAAAAAGTATCCAAACATGATCAAAGCGACTGCAGTTACTGTAGATACAGTAGCCACAATGGAGACTTGCCTGCAAAATGAATAAATGGGGGAAATTGAAAATTTTAACTATGAAATAATTTGAACAAATTTGAACATCGGCTCAAAATTCATCAGTTGTATATTTTTCTAGTTGGAAACGCCAATTTCGTAGCCCTAAAAAAGGTATTCGAGAACTTTTCAATTTGTCTGAAAATTTCAGAGTATACTAAACAAAAATAGAGCTTCAATTTTGTAAATGATAACCAAGAAAAAAATTTTCAATTACAAAAATGAAGCTCTATTTTTGTTTAGTATGCTCTGATATTTTCAGATAAATTGAGAAATTCTGGACCGATATTGCAGGGGTTCAAAGTTGACTATTCGTGAAAAGCGCCAACTTTTGGGTTTGATTGATCGAAAAAAGTTCCAATGGTTTGATTAAGAATTTTCAATGGAACAGTAAAAAAAACAGAATAATATAATTTTTTAAAAAATCTTTTTAAATATTCCAAAAATTTCCAACTGAAAACTGAAAACTCCATCCTCTAACTTTTAAAAATTCAATTTTTGAAACAGTAAAAATCCCAAAAATACTGAAACTTACCAAAAATGCATGGGACTTTTCAACATGACAAATGGCCATAGAATGATTCCAACAGCCATTAAAGTGGTGCACATTGTCGCTGGAATTCCAAATCCATTGAGAATTTCAGATAACGTTTTTGCAGCTAAAAGGGAGAAGACAGCAGTGCCACCAAAGATGGTAAGGTAGGTGCAGAAGCTGGTGATGTGGCTGGAAATTGTGAAATTATCCGAAGAAAAACGGCTAAAAATTGGTACCTGGTGATCAGCTTAATTATCTCAAGTCCTGTGAGAAATATCAAAAATATGTCAATTGATAAGTTGTTTGTCATAATATCAGAAACATTTTATCAGTTGACAAATTTTTGATATCACTTATAGGAATCGAGATAATTGAGCTCAAAGTGCAAGCATAGGAGTGCGTTCTGTTGGAGAGGTTACGGTAGTTGGATTTTCAAAAGAATTGGGGGGTATATTAAAAGCACTCCAAAAACAATGCATAATGCCGGAAAAATTATCATATAAGAAAGTTTTGAAACAGAAAAAAATTAAAAATATTGAGCAACACGGCCGCAATCTCTGAACCGAGAAAGTACGCCATCTTGTACTTGTTCTTTGAGCTCAATTATCTCGGTTACTGTAAGAGATATTAAGAAATATTTCAACTGACAAAATGTTGGTGATAGTATGATAAACATTTTAACAGTTGGCAGTTTCATGATATCTTTCATAGGAGCTGAGATAATTGAGCGCAAAGTAAAATGATGAAATGGACATTATAGCTTCTTCAGTGAGCCAGGAACCCGAGAAAATAGCTTAAATCTGTATGAAATTCTGAAAACCCAGAGTTTTCAAATTTGTCAGATTGTTCGCTTTGAAATAAGCCTAAACACGCTACAAATCGGTTGATTTTGATTTTTAGCTCAAAAACGCGACGCACGACCGCGACGCACCTGAAACTCGGTGTCTAATGGCATGTTTAGGCTCATTTCGAAGCTCTTAATATGCTGAATAAAAATTATTACATTACAAATCAAAATTTTCACATTCCGAACACAGAAATTAAGATACTTGGTCACAAACTGAGTTTACGGTAGTTGGAATCTAGTGGAATATTAAAAGCAGCTAAGAAAATATGTATAATAAAAATGCAGAAAAATTGTCTTATAAGAGTTTTTTGAAACAGAAAAAAACTAAAAATATTGTGCAACATGGCCGCAAACTCTGGACCAACATACCACTCTAGACTTGCACTTTGAGCTCAATTATCTCGGTTACTGTAAAATATATTTGAAATTTGCCAACTGACAAAATGCTGGTGATAACATGATAAACATTTTAACAGTTGACAGTTTTATGATATTTTTTATAGGAGCGGAGATAATTGAGCGCAAAACAAAATGATAGAATGAACATTATCAACAAATACCTTGTCAGCGAGGAACCCGAGAAAATGTCTTAGAACTGTCTGAAATTCTGAAAACCCAGAATTTTCAAATTTGTCAGATTGTTCGCTTTGAAATGAGCCTAAACACACTACAATTCAGTTAGTTTTGATTTCTCGCCCAACACACGCGACGCACGACCGCGACGCACATGAAATTCGGTATCTCACCGAATCTTGGCGTGTTTGAGCTCATTTCGAAGCTCTTGATATGCTGAAAAAAATTACTACATTACAAATCAAAATTTGCAAGTTCTGAGCACAGAAATCAAGATAATTGAGCTCAAACTGAGTTTAAGGTAGTTAACTTTCAAAGGAATTGATTGAAAACTTTAAAGAAGATTGGATCTATAGTAAAACATGAAAATAATATTTTCTTAAACACAATTTTTTAAAGAGGAATTTTTTTTTCAAAAAAAAAACTCACCCCATCCAATCACCCATAGCTTTCTGAGCCATTTCTGGATACGGATTCCTGCAGTGCTCTGTGTATTCGCTCCATCTGTAAGTTAGTTAGGGTAATTAGTTAATTGGCTTGCTAATTACCGTGTCTTCATAATTATCCAATTGTTTCCTAGAAGTGTAGCAGTGTAGAATGGAATCAGGCACATAATTATAAGGGTTATAACTCCACCGACTAGTCCTGAAAATTATATTTTACTTTTTCAAAAATTTTTCTTTTTTTTGGAGTATCAAAAATGTTTAGTTCCATATCTAATGGATCTTCAAAATCGCGTTATTTAGAAGAAAATTACGGTAAATGCGAAGAATCAGAAAGACAGAGATATATTTTAACTTACCTAATGATAACATTGCATTTGGAAGAGCCACCAATCCGGACCCGGCGGTTTCACCAAATGTGAAAATTACTGCTATCCACCAAGAGTAACCGTTCTCCATTCTGAAATTATATATGGCGACATATAGGGATACGGTAGAGGGATTTAAAAACGATTTCTCAAAAACTCATATTTAGGCATATTTAAAGAAAAATGTCAACTTTGAAGTCAGAAAAGAGTAGTCTGGAATTTCAAGTTTTTCACTGTTTCAATGAAATTTTTGAACCAAATCGTTGAAATTTTTTCTTAATTTACCGCGTTGATACCTACTGGCTGATAAAACAATTTAATGCAATACCGGACTGAAACCCATAATTTGCCCTTCTGAGTTAAAAAAAATAATCAACTTTGAAGTCTTACAAAACTAGTTTAAAACTTTCTGATTTGTCTGGAAATTTCAGAGTATACTAAACGAAAATAGAGCTTTATTTTTATAGTTGACAACTTCTTCCTAGCTAACGTATTTTTTGAGATATGCAGCTTTAATCCTGCTGTACAATCCTGTTGTCTGCCCGCGCAATTATTTTAAACGCGCATATCTCTAGAACTACCGTAGCTAGGAAAAAGTTGTCAACTACAAAAATGAAGCTCTAATTTCGTTCAGTATATTCTGAAAATTTCAGAAAAATTGAAAAATTCAGGGCTACTTTCGTAGGACTTCAATTTTGAAAGTTTTCCACTGAACATGTCAAAGGATATATATATTTCCAGTCCGGCGTTCTAACTCAAGTTGAACAAAACATTCAAAAGTTTCAGTTTTTCCTTTTAATTTTGAAAAATTAAATTTTTTTTCATTTTTTCGTCTTGTTTGAAAACTGGAAACTTTCTCAAAACGCAGAAACTTGGAGGATTAACAAACGATAAGACCCGTGATAGAAGAGCTATCAACCAATTTATCTCGGTTACCGTAAAATATATCAAAATTCCTTGTACTGATATAATTTTGCTGAAAACATGATAAAAATTTTGGTAGTTGACTACTTTTTGATATCTTTTGCAGGGACCGAGATAAATCAGGTCGAAGTTAAGAAGTCGGCAGCCGAACGCGTATCTTACCCGACAAGAGCCGGCTTTTTAACTTTTAACCCATTTATCCCAATTCCTTTGAAAGATATCAAGTTGTGGTTAATTGATAAAATGTATATCATAATATCAGCAACATTTTATCAGTAGAAAACTTTTTGCTATCTTTTATAGTAACCGAGATAACTTGGCTGAAAGTATGCTAAAGGGATAATGACTGATAAGGAACTTAAAAATCGGATGTTGATCAACAAAAGTGAATAGTTTTAAAGAACCTTTGAAACAGTTAAAAAACAAGAAAAGATTCAATTTTTTCCGAAAAAAATTATCTCTGAAATGTGAAAATTTCAAACATTCGATTTTATAAAACCTCGAAAAGTAGGAATTACAGTAATCTATGGAAGATAAGGAAGTTAAGAAAAACAATCTTGAAATTTTTGAACCTTCTGATCTCACTACTAAAAGTACAAATCACCGAAAAACGAAACAACCGTGTGATAATAAAACCAAAAATGATATAGGAGGTGATAGATAAATCATGGGAGAAGGTGTCACATGATCATAATTCTTCCGAAACACCGATACAAAAAAATTATTCTAGTTTTTCCTTTTCACCAATATCATCATTTATTATGTACATAGGTTCAATACAAACTATCCGTTAAAAAACAGCGTTTTTTAAACGAATTGTGGAAAAAAGAGGAAAAAGACCACAAAACATAATGTGTTTATGAAAATAAGTGAAAACGAGACAATTGGTGAATTATGTGACTAATTTGAAGAATCTGGTTCCCCAACGGAAATGACGAAAAATCGTTGGTTATTAGGATCATCAAGGCGCCCCTTCCCTCCGCCGCCGACCGCCGCCGCGCCTCACTCAAATGTACGCCCTCCCCTCCTCTCCCTCTTGTCCTCCCATGTGGTCTAGTGGTTAGGATTCGTGGTTTTCACCCACGCGGCCCGGGTTCGATTCCCGGCATGGGAAGTTTCTTTTTGTGGGTTTTTTATAAAGTATGAGATGCTTTTTGGGCTACAAGGGGCTTTTAAAAGAGGTCCTGTGAAGAAAGGATGGTTAGATTAGGTATCGGAAAGTGTTATTTGATTATGTTGCAGGATTGGTGAATTGGCGGGATTAGTAGGAACAGCTATGAGCTAGAAATAATAAATGTCGCTTGAAACAGTGATTTTGATTCAAGTTTTTCATGGAATTAAATTTTTAGCATTTTTGTGAAAAAAATTATGGGAATTTTTTGGAGTTCGAGAATTTTCATAAATCTGAGAAGTTTTTAGATAGGGTGTACTAAAAAAAATTAATGCTCGTCAAGTATCGCGCATTGGTCGTAATCGCACGACTTTCCGTCAGAATGCATGATCTCGCCCCAAGAAAGCCCGTAGACTTTCGTGTCTGGCCTCCTTTAACTAAAAATTTTGTTTCAAAAAATTACTGTTTCACAAAAAACCATTAACTTTGAATGATTAATTTCCGAATTATCAATTTTTCTATACATTTCATTTTTCAACTACAATTACGGTAAACCCGCTAATAGAATACCCCTTCACTTTTCACTTTGAGCTTAATTATCTCAATTTCTGTAAAAGATATAAAAAATGGTCAACTGAAAAAATATTTTTGATATTATGATAAACATTTTATCAGTAGATCCTTTTTTGATATCTCTTACAGTAAGCCAAATAAATTGGATCAAAATTGACGGTTTGGGTGAATTAGAAGGTTTACAGTCGATTTTTTTTTCAATTAACATTACTATTTACATACTTTCAAATACCAATTTTTACAGATTTAACTTGAAATGTTGGCCCTATCACAGAACAAAAACGCACTAGGTTTATAAAAATGTTTGTATTAAAAAAATATTTGACTGGAAAATAATGAATTTTCCAAAAATATTACTGTTTCAAAAACAAAGCTATTGATTCGATTTTTCAAATACAATTAATGACTATTTGGAAAACCAATAGTTCTGAAAAGAATTGGTTGAAATTTATATGTGTCGAATTGATTCTCAACATAAAAAAAACGAACAACATATCAATTCTTTATATGAATCATTTGAATTTTTTTACTGTTAAGAAAAAATCAAGTTTTTCGGTGTAATTACATTGAATTAAGCTTCAAGAAAACGAAATAAAACTAAAAATTATATTTTCAAAACAGTAACAAATTTGGAACATATTGCTCATATTTGAGCCAATTACAGTATACACTTAGCACCTCCAGAAAAACATTTATCAGAACATAATAAGCTTCAAGAGTGGGCAAACCAGAAGCCTTATTTTTGAAACATTAAAAATTACAATTACAGTATGAATTCAGGGGTTTCAGAAAGAAAAAAAAACGGCCAAAAACCAGGCAAAGAAACATATTATCGCTTCCGTAAATCTGCCAAATTTTGAGGCGGAGCGTCTGGTTTTTTGAATCTAAACACATAAATTTCACTGCCGCTTTTTTAGCTACATCATCTTTTGTAAAATAGACGATTTTAACGATTTCGTCGTCGTCGGAAGAAGAGGAAGAAGAAGAAGACGTCGTCATGGTAATTAAATCGTGCAATTAAATGTGATGATGATCAGAAGAGGAGAAAAGAAGATAAGGAAGGAGAAGAGGACAGCAAATTTTTTTCTGGGGAATCTATTTTTTAGTTTGAGGGTTGGAAAAAAAGTAAAGGGGGAAAAAATGGAAAAAATCTCAAGCTTCGAATTTTTTCTGTTTCTAAGATTACAAAAATTGTACTCTTTTAGTTTTTTTAGTGTCTCGGCAGTATTTGCCGTATTTACTGTTCACCGTAAACCTTCTAATAGAAGGGCACCTGAACCGTCATTTTAGCCAATTTATCTCATTTCCTGTAAAAGATACGGTATTCAAAAATTTTACAGTTTCATAAATTTTCTTTTTTTAGAACCAATTTGTTCAAGATTGGTTCGTTAATGTCTAATTAACAAGCGAAGTGAATGACCAGGCAATAATAAAATTTATCTGAAACCCAAGTTTCCAGTTTTCTCAATTTAAAAAAATCAAATATTCTGTTTCAGAGGATCCTTATTTTTAATAGCTCTATAATCTGATTATTATGATTGATTTATAACCAGTCGGTTTACGCCCCTTCGGGGCTGAACCTCCTGGCCTCCGGTCGCCCTCCACCATCGACCTTTCTGCCCACCACCCTTTAGTGTGGTGAAACCAAGGAACGTCTCCAGAAGACTTCAAAATCAAAATTTTGAAAAACCAAAAGTTCGGGCATCAACTAAGACACAATTCTGATCTACCTATCCAGGTTTCAGCTTGATCGGTTAACGTTCAATGGGTGATAAGGTGCACTACATACATACGCACATACAGAATCTGGTGAATGTTATTAGTAATGATGAAATCTTTTTTTTTTTAAGTTTAAATGTAATGTGCTCTTTAAAAAGCAATTGTAGTTCTCCTGGAAAATATGGAAAATTTTGAAAAGTAGGAAATCGATGAATGGGGGATTTTATAACTTGGCGAAATCTTGAGTTTTGGTTCAAACCGCCTAATTTTTGTCTGAAAAATTTAAACAATTTTAAGCAGGAAATGTTGCATTTTCTAAATGGAAATTGGTCAAACTCTCTCTCTCTCTCTCTCTTTCTCTCTCTCTCTCTCTCTCTCTCTCTCTCTCTCTCTCTTTTCAAATTTTGATTCTATATTTTCTTTAATTTCAAAAAAATGGCATAGAAAGTCAGGATAAAGTGAGATTGTCAAGATTATCTTTTAAAAAATTATCAATTAGTTTTGAAATAGAGTTTTTTTTAATCCGTGTCAAGCACCCAAAAAAAAATACACTCTGCTCAAAAATTGCTTGGATGTACTTGTAAACAACAAAGGTGGTTACTGTAGACCATGCCCCGTTCTTTTTTTTCCCCTAATATTGCCGCGCTATCACAAAAAGGGGCGGAGCTTGTTTGTTAGTGAACAACGACAGTATATCGAAAAATTAAACAATTTTTACACATTTTCTCTGAAACATGTTTTGAATGGACATTTGTTGAAACAGCAAAAGTTTTCGAAAAATTGAATTTCAGCAATAACCGTTTTCATTATATTTGGGAATTTTGGAAATAATGAAAAAAATTAAAAAAATTGAAGTCGGAATATTGCAATTTTAAATTGATTTTTTTGTGTTTTCGATTTATTCATTGTTTTTAATTGTTTCTAATTGCTTCAAAGTTAGTTAATTAATTACAAAAACATACGAAATTCGAAAAAAAAACTATTTCAAAAAATTGTTAAAAATGAGAAAAAATGAACTAAAACTTGATGAGATTGGTCTAAAACGTTGTCGAAAAATTCAAAACTCATATTTTCAAAATTTGAAGTGCAGACGGTCTAGACATTGCAGAAAACTACAGTACCGAATTAAAAAATCGCATTTTATGAAGATGAGAATATTCAAGTTAAAATCCTGAAAATTAAAGTAATTCATTAAGCGCTCTCGTATTTTTCCCGGAGGGATCATTCTCATTTTTATCGCTGTTTCAGAATTTTTTCTCCCTTCAAACTTCAAAACCCATACTGAAAATCTATTTTGCCAAACACTCCTTCTTTTTCAAAGATAACGCGGATAAGTTTAAAAAACTGGCAGGCTATACGGAAACGACGTGAATATAATTTTTTCAATAGTTGCACTGTAGAAATAGAAGAACGTCTCCAGAAGACGTGAGAAGCAAAATTTCGAAAAAGGAAAACGCCGAGCAAAAACTAAGACGCACTTCTGATCTATCTGTCCAAGTCCGAGCTAAATTGGTCAACGTTGAGTAGGTCAAAAGTTACGCGACATACATCCTCACATACAGAATTTGGTGCTTGTTATTAGTAATGATTCTTGTAAAAAATATCAAAAATCTGTAAACTATAAAAATATTCGGAATATTATCACAAAAATTTTATCAACTGACAGATTTTTGATAGTACTTACAGGAACCGAGATAATTAAGCTCAAACAGAATCACAACAACAGGTCGTCCGGAAATATTTTAGAAGAATCTCGAGTTTGTTTTCTAATGATTCCCGCGAAAACATAATTGTTTCAACAAATATTTACTAATTAGATTCCATGAAAAACTTAACTCAAAATTACTGCTTCGAACGGGATTTATTTTTCTAGCTTTTCCAGCTGATAACTCTTGCTACTATGCAAAAAACTGAATACCATTTTTCAATGCCAAATTTAAAGCCAAAAGCATCTCACAATTAGCTAAAAGTCTAAAAAAGAAACTTCCCATGCCGGGAATCGAACCCGGGCCGCGTGGGTGAAAACCACGAATCCTAACCACTAGACCACATGGGAGGACGAGGGAGAGAGGAGGGGAGGGCGTTTACATTCCTCCTGACCTTTTTTAATGCGATGGTTCAACATTTTTGTCTAATCCAAAAAAAGGGTTTAACAGATTTTGAAACAGTGATTTTTTGCAATATTTTCTTTAAACGAAAAAAACTCTTCAATTTATATCATTGATTTTTTTCGCAAAAATTTTCATTCACAAAAAAAGATTTCATTCACAAAAAAGTTTTCAAGACCAAATAAACCCAAAACAGTAAAAATTAAGGAAAAAAAAAATTAATATCTCTCCTTCATAACAACTCTGAAATTCTTGGCCTTCATCGTCACACCACACTCTTTCTCAATGCTTGGATTCAAATTATCCGCATGCAATTTAATATCAAATTTGTTGAATAAATTGGCAAAAAATAGAAATAATTCCATTCGAGCCAATCCTTCACCCAGGCATTGTCGTTTTCCAATTGAAAATGGCACGAGTTCTTCGACTTTTTTCAAATTTCCCAAAGAATCCAAAAATCGAGATGGACGGAATTCATAGGGTTCTGGGAAGACCTAAATCACTTTGATTACTGTAGCCTAGAGAAGTTAGGGCACCTCCGGATCATAGAGTACTGTACAAATTTGTGGAGTGATTACTGTATCTTTGGGAATACGGTAGCCACCGATTTCCATGTCACATGCAGTGGTACGAGAGATATTCATTGGGAGCAGGTTTGCAAGACGTTGGGATTCCTGGAAACCGTAACTTTTTGGTCTTAGACATTTGAGAAGGGCCTGAAAATCGTGTTTCTTACATGTGTACATAATTACCTTTGAAGATGTTTCTTAAAACAGGATTATCAAATCAGTGGTTTCCAAATTTGAAAAATATGATGCAAAAAGAACTACATGGAGCATTGAAAAAATGCACTACTTTTTGAAAACTCGAATTCCAAGTTGAATTCACAGTAGCTCTATCTGTAATCCTCGTTATGAGTATTTGAAAAAATCATTTTACTGTTTCATAAAACATCTATATAACATGTCTCAAAGTTGGATTTTGATAATATTTTAGCTCAAATTCAGCTGCAATTTTTGTAATTGGGAAAAGTTGCGAATGGGTATACTGTAGTTTAATAAAAGGAACTCACATTGATCGTAGCCATAACATAGTTGAGATTTGGCCGGTCGCTAGTTGTTATAATTCGATCATTTCCAATTTTCATATCCAATTCTTCATACACTTTTTGACAAACTTCAGGATTCAGAAGGACATAAAGAAGTGACCAGTAGAGCGTATTCGAAGTGGTTTCCATTCCGGCAACCCATAAATCAAAGCATACACTATCCAATTGTTCCAATCTGCAGAAATTGGCAAAAAAAGTTAAATAACTAATTCAAAAAGTTACTGTTTCAATTGAAAAATTTAGTTGTTGGTAATACTTTCTAATTGATCGTAGTTGGGCAACCAATTTATAAAGTTTTTTTTTGAAATTCTAGATCTAGATACAGAGAAGTATGAAAACATTTTCTTTAGGGAAGGCCCCAACTCGGGTGTGGCAAGGTGACCTATATCATCTGAAAGCTGACATTTTCCTGATTCCAAATCTGTTTTCAAAAAGTGCATTGTCGCGGTAGTTTTTGAGAAAATTGGATCAATAGTTTCGGATAATGACGTGGATTTTTAATCTCATTTTCCTTCCTCACGTATATAAGTTTTGAAGTGTTGAAAGAATGTGGAAGCGTGGTCGAATGGTTAGTGACGAGGAATATCAAGTGATGACTCTCTGGTTCGACTCCCTCGAGCTGCTAAACTTTTTTTGATTTTTTTTCTTTGTTTCTTCCGGTGATTGTATCTGACTTCTAGGGGATCCTATATAGTTCCATGTACTTGAAATTGCTTTTAATTTTGATTTTAACTGTTTTACCTTTTATTTTCAAAACTTGTTGTTTTCATCTATTTTTCCACAATTTGCAAAGGATTGTGATCCATTGAAGATTCTAGACAAACCGCATATTTTTGATTTTGCTCAAACTATTGTCATTGGTCCTTTTGGGCACGCTGATCACAAAACAGAAGTCAGTTTTTCGACCCCGGCCCTGTGAAAAAAGTTATGAGTTATGAAAGTGATTACAGTACTAATTTCTTATTTTCGGAGTGAGTTTCTGAAGGAATCATTGACTTTATTTGGAGAGTTTTCAATGTTTATAGTATTTCGTCTACTATCTAATCGTCTACAATCTGATATGATTCCCTATTTTTTTCGAAAAAAAATTAATTTTGAAAAAATCGCCATGGGGTACCCCCTTGTCATTTTTTTTTCAATTTTCGAAAAAAAATGTAATGTGCTAGAATTAGTTCCAAACAAAGAGAATCAGTGAAAAAAATTGTTTCACGAGATTCGTTAACCTATGTCCATTTCTACAATTCAGATACAGTCACCGCAAAAACCGAACAATTCCGCATTCGCTTCCGCATTCTTTCAACACTTCAAAACTTATATACGTGAGGAAGGAAAATGAGATTAAAAATCCACATCATTATCCGAAACTTTTGACACAATTTCCTCGAAAACTACCGCGACAATGCACTTTTTGAAAACAGATTTGGAATCAGGAAAATGTCAGCTTTCAGATGATATAGGTCACCTTGCCACACCCGAGTTGGGGCCTCCCTAGTTAGTGCATTTTCCAAATTCTCAATGGTTTCCATCATTCTTTGTTACAGCTATATTTGCTCTGTTGTGAGTACCGTAGTCATTTTTACTGTTTCAAAAAATCAATGTTTTTCCAGTTATACATTCTCAGTGTTCCCAATCTAAATTTGATTTGCGAATAATCAAACTAATTTGAGTTATTAAACAATGTCAATTATCTCGTTATCTGAACGTTATCGCTTTTAAAAAACTCACTCAAATCCTCCGAACCCTTCCTCATTTTCATGTTTCTTTCTCTCCTTCAAAAATGCTTCCACATAATCCGAATAGTCATCAGAATCATAATCAATCACTGCCAATTTCTCCTCGGCTTGTTTTCGGAACATTTTCAGAAGACCCGACCAACTATCCGTGACGACTGAACATGATATTTTTTGGATTCCAGATTCCAGATTCCAGATTCCAGATTCCAGATTCCAGATTCCAGATTCCAGATTCCAGATTCCAAATTCCAGATTCCAGATTCCAGATTCCAGATTCCAGATTCCAGATTCCAGATTCCAGATTCCAGATTCCAGATTCCAGATTCCAGATTCCAGATTCCAGATTCCAGATTCCAGATTCCAGATTCCAGATTCCAGATTCCAGATTCCAGATTCCAGATTCCAGATTCCAGATTCCAGATTCCAGATTCCAAATTCCAGATTCCAAATTCCAGATTCCAGATTCCAGATTTCGAAACCAAAAATTACTGTTTCAAAAAATCTGCATTTTTCTGTACCAAAAATGTTGTCATTCAGGCTGTGTATTTCTCTAGGAAAGCAATCAAATTTGAAACAGTGATTTATTTTTGTTTCAAAAAACATTCCGAACGTTCTCTGAGTTTGAGGATTTCACTATCCCAGTAAATTGTCGCTCACTTCTCTTATATTTTCCCAAAAATGGCAAATCTCCAATCCACGGATACATGATAAGGAGTGCTCCGATTGGCTCGGCGGTTATTTTGAAATGTTTGGACATTAGATTTTTCAGTTCAAGGAATTCGGACATATTTGTCTGAAAAAATTGATTTTTGAAATCTTCAAGATCCCAAGTTCCAGGCTCCTAAGCATCTAGTCCCCCACAAACCTCATCATATCGATAGCCAAACAATAAATTATTGATAACAGATCCGACAGCTGCATCAAACACATTTTGCATATCCACGTCGTCTTTAATTTTTCGAATACTTTCTATCATTGCTGAAACTTCACTGAGCACCTGAAAATGGGTTTTGCAATTTTTTTTCACTGTTTCAAAAATTAGAAAAATTTTCATATTGTTATATCTTCAAAAATAATGTAGGTACAAATAAAAATTAAGGATTACTGTAGGATCTCCGAATGCAACTGTAGATTACACTTTTGGAGCAGATTACTGTCGATTGATGAAAAACGGATAATTTCAATCAACTGATATTAGTACCCTTTGAAGCTCCTACATTAATCCAAATCCACAGTAATCTGCTTCAATAATCGGAGTCCGCAGTAATCTTTTAAGAAATCCTACAGCAACTCTTCAAAACTACAGTAATCCAATTAAGCCAGGAACCTACAGTAATCATTAAAAAGTTCTCACCTTTTCCTCCATCAAATTCTTGCCCAATCCGAAATCTCTCAAAATGTGCAACGCAAATCTTCTCTGTTGAACCCATCGGTCTCCATGAGATTCCACGATACCGTATGGGCCTTCTGCAATAAGGATTACTGTAGTTTACGGTTTCAAATTTTTGATTTGAAATTTTGGTTTGGTTATTTCAGTTGATGAAACCATTGGGCGAGTTTTCTACACTTAAGAACAGCGAAATTTCTTATAATAGGCACAATGCATATCAAACCGTCTGGAGTAAGGATTACTGTATTTTACAATTTCAATTTTCATGTTCGCAATACCCATCATGTACATTATAAAGTAGCATTTGCAATTTGAAACAGTAATTTTATGAAATTCCAAAAACTCACTCCTTATCTCAATATTAATTGGGAACTCGGGACGTCCCACGAAGTTTGCTCCATCTTTTATAAAATGTTGTTTTATCAATTTCCAATCAGTTACAGTAATCATTGGAAGATTGGCCAACCAAAATGTGAACACCGGTCCATATTGGTCTCTGGAATAGGATTCAAAAATTACTGTTTCAAAAAATTTCAAATTTTTGGTTCTGAAATTTAGGAACTATTACGTTTTTTTTTGTGTTAAAACTTTGAGTTTGGAGGAAATAGGTCGTTTTGAAGTCTTGGAAAAGGTGGTCCAGAATTTTTCCAATTAGTCTGAAAATTTCAGGGTACACTAAACAAAAATAGAGCTTTAATTTTGTAATAGACAACTTTTTTGTAATTTCAGTGGAAAACTGACGAGGAAGCAGGGCTGGGCGAGCAATCGGCTTTCGTGGGAAACGAATTGCAAAACACACGCATTTCGCGAAAAAAGTGGGCGGAGCCTCGGCACACACAAAGTATAGTGGACGGCGGAACCCGGGAAGTGTCGGCCGCTGCGAAGAATGACTACCCGGTGGCGCGTAGTTGAAAAATAAATCAAACTTCAAATTCCCGCCAGTTTCGTGTCGAGACCCTTCGGCGAAATTGCGTGCGCCTTTAATCTCGAATGACACAACAAGCGCGGAAAATTTGCAAAACGTGAAGGTTTTTCTCCCGTCCTCGGCCACCCCTGCGAGGAAGTACTTTTTAAGGCACTCATAGGTACACATTTTTCTTAAAAATAGCAATTTTCAGACATATTTTCGATGGAAAGTTTTCTGACAGATATTAGATTGGAAAGAAAGTTTCTTTCTTTTTCGCAGGGTTGTTTTTGAGGCTCGATTTCTAGTTCTAAAAGAGATGTACCGGGCCCAACTTTTTTTTGTTAGAAAGCGGTGTTCAATTTCTATTAGATTGTAGATTGGTTAATTTTCATCTCACTCATTTTTGATGAAATGACGATTCTTTTGGTCCTTATCCGACTGAACATGCGCAACACGATTATATTTCTATTTTTATCATACTTGTGAAGGGCCGGGCCGGGCCGGGCCGAAACACGAATTTCACCGGCCCTGCCCGGCCCGGAGGCCCGGTCGGCCCGGTCGGCCCGGAAGTTTACCGCGAACTTCAAAATCTTGAGCGAAAAGTTGAATCATTGTTTCGAAAAAAGGTATTCAGTGTTTTTTTTCTTCGAGTTATTTTTCAATACATTCTAAAAATCAATAAATTCATTTTCAAAAACAAAAACAGCATGATATCATAACAATTTTCAAATATAACAAAAAGAAAACATAACAAGTAAAGTAAGGTTGAAAATTCAATTAGTTTTCAAATCATCAACCCAATCGGGATTTTTCGAAGCGATTTGACTACCGACAACGATCTTTTCAACGGTTTCAGTGCGTAAACGTGTTCGACGTTTGTCCAAAAGAAATGCAGCTGTCGAGAAGGTTGTCTCACAAACCGACTCACTAGGCACGATTGACAGCACTTTTGTTGCAACTGTATATAAGGCCGGTAGTCATGTTTTAAATACGATGCTCCGAAATTCCGCATTCGCGTTGTTTATCGCTTTGACAAAAATGGCGGCTGTTTAAATTCATTTTTCAAAAATTTTGTTTTTTTTCTGCCGGGCCGCCGGGCCGAAATTTCACAAGTATGATTTTTATTTGGTCTTCAAACACCTAGTAATCGCAAAAAAAATTGTGGATGTATATAAGGAACATGTCCGTCATCGCCTACAATTTGTGTTCGGTTCGAAAAATTCCGCCCAGGGAGAGTTCAGTTTGAAAGATGGCAACTGCCTAGTGAGTCGGATCTTCATCAATTGCTAAAAACCGGGGAGGTGGATCCATTTAAAACCATTTGTGAAATGTCACAGGCATTGTCCTCTTGTCAACCAAGTTTTGTGAACGGATCGAAGTCTCTTGGCAAAGTCAAAAACTGGTTGATTTGTACCCCCCCGTGTTTTTCCGGACTACAATATGTTTCGCCATGTAGACATGGGTATGTTTCACCTATCATTTCTTCCCACGTTCAGTTGGGCGGGGGATCTAATTACTGTAGATAAAATGTGGGTAAGTTACTCTAACAATATGCGGAAGGGTCAGTCGATTAACAAAGAAGGGCTAGCTCTGGGCGTCCCGAAACCTAAATTTCCCGTAAAAAAGGGGATGCTATGTATTTCGTGGTCTTCCAATGGAATGGAGACTGGGAACTTTTAAATGAATGTACCATTATCATTGCCACTTTGTATTGTTCCTAATTATAGAGACTGAATTCAGCATTCGAATCGAAACAAGGTGAAAAAACCAAAGTTTCCCTTCAGGACGACAGTGAGAGATCCCCCGTTACTAGAGGGATCAGCCAAAATTTCATGTCGTTTGTCTGGACTACTTTTTTGCTTTCACCGTATTTTCCGGAATTCGTCCTTTTGGATAAATAGTCGTTTGGGGCTTTTGAACGTCATCTTGACTGAAAAAACTTCAATCAAAAAGATGACACAAAAAAGGAATTGCTTCACTTTTTCAACCGCAGCCGTCCTCGTTCTGGGCCGATGGAATCAAGAAATTACCAGAGCGTTGCCAGACAACTATCGATGCTCATGGACGTTACTTTCATTGATCTTGCCTCCTCCGCTTTAAGATAAATCTAATCAAAAATGTTGCCAAAACAGAAAGAAACTTTCTTTCCAACCTAATAAAAATTGCTGTTTCAAAAAATTTCGAAATTTTGAAACTCTCTGTCTTCAATGTTTTTGACATACTAATTGCAAGATTTACTCTCAAATAGAACACTATTTGCACATTTAGCTCAAATATCTCGGTTACTGTAAGAGCAATCAAAATTGGCCAACAGATAAAATATTTGTCATAATATCCCCAACATTTTTGTAGTTTACGGATTTTTGATATCTCTTACGGGAACTGTGATAATTGGGCTCAAAATATATGTAGTCTCTTAAATCAACAAAAGTGTCAGCTTTCAGATTTTCGAGTTCAAGTTTATAAATTTTCGAAAAACTCACTTCAACTTCTGATACATTTTATAGCCCGGTTTGACGTCGTCTGTCATCAGATACAAATTTCCAATTATTGGGAGGGGAAGTGGACCTTAAAAAAAGAAAATTACCTTAAATACTCTAACAGGGGGCCATCCAAGCAGTAGACTTTGAACCCATATATCTCTGATTACTGTAAGAAATATCGAACAGTGGTCAACTGATAGAATATTGCTGATATTATGGTATATATTTTACTAGTTTACCACTTTTCGGTATCTACCACAAAAGTTGAGATATACCGGCTCAAAGTTGGCTGTATTCAGTCATTTTCATTCTCAAAGCCTTACCTGGCGGCAAATTCCTTCTTTTCCAATAGAATAAATCAAATGAATAGATCAAAAACAAAGCGAAAATTAGAAGAAAAATCATTTTCAAACTGAAAAAAATTGGAGGGAGAAAAACGGATATCTATGTCAAGATCAATCAACCAGAGACTAGAGTAAAGTGAAGAGATAGTATGGAAAGATGAGAGAGTGGTTAGAGAAACAGAACAAAAAAATGTGATGATCCTCTTCTCTGTTTGTTCGTTTCGACAAAAAACCAAAAATTGGAAAAACGTGAACTTTTGAAAAATTGGAAATTCCGATTTAGGTGGTTTAAGCTGGAAATTCTTGGCTGAAAATGAAACATTTTAGCTAAAATTTAAAAATAATTGAAAATGATTGGATTCGAAACAACAATTCAAAAAATTCTATTCGGTGCGGCAATGTATGGTATGAAAGACTTAAAACGAAATAATTTTTTTTAAAAAATGTTCTGAAAATTTTTGTTTTTTGAAACAGTAATTTTTTAGTGTGCCTAACCTCATTGGCAATATTTGTACATTGGATGTGGTTAGTAATTATGACATGGTAATTGGTCGAAAAATGAAGAAGAATACGCTAAAACCCGGACATCGAGTGTTCATGGTAAGTCGGAGGAAGTCTCCAAATTTAAAGACGCATATCTCAAAAACTACGGTAACTAGGAAAATTTCAAAAAATGTAAACTTGTGTAAAATTTTATACTCTTTAACATTGTAGTTGACTAATTTCTGATAGCTACTGTAGTTTTTGAGCTGTACATCTTTAAAATTGATGGTCCAGTCGCAATAGTTCCTCAAAATTTAAAGCCGGATATCTCAAAAACTACGGTAGCTATGCAAAACTTGTCAATTGAAAAAATGTGTAAAATTTTATGCTCTATAGTTTTGTAGTTGACTAATTTGATAGCTACTGTAGTTTTTGCGATATATTACAAGAATAAAAAAATAATTTCAGAAAGGCCTTGCACTCCCATCCGCTTATTATGAAGAAATGAAGAAGAGAAAAGAGGAGAGGAAAAATGAAGAAGCGAAGGTTGATGTCTGAAAATTGATTGTTCTTTATTGATCATTTTTTCAATTGTGATAAATCGTTTTTGAACTTTTAGCTTCACGGTGTGCACACATCTCCCATTTTTTCACGGCTACCGTACCCCGACCGAGTAGTTTGACAGAATTTGGAGTTCGCATTTCCTGTATGAGATATCAAAAATTTGTCAACGGATAAAATGTTGGTTATATTATGATAATAATTTTATCCGTTGATAGGTTTTTCATATCTCTTACAGGTCATGAGATAATTTTAATTTTTTAATGGCTCGAATTAGTTTGATTATTCGAAAATCAAACCAACATTCCCAGGCAAAAAATTCGGGGGGGACGCTGTCGTCCTCGCCTTTATGTATGCAATCGGGCGACCGCTTTCTCTTTCCCCGCGTAGCTCAGTCGGTAGCTGCGCCGCACCCTCAATCATCGCCCCAACAAGTTCAACTCCTCGAGGGGCACCTTTAAACGAAATTTCGAGAACATAATTTTTTTCATGTCCCCCCACCTTTAAAATTCTCCTTCGTTGAAGGTCCAGTGTCCCCATCTTTCCTGAGCGGTCTCGGTGGCAACGGTTTGGCGGTGGTGCGGGCTGGCTGGGCTCCAATCGCTGCCTTTTTC